AAACATGCATATGCCTTATGTGCGACAGTAATCTCACAATCATTGCTGGCTGTTGTATAATATCTTTGGATTATAGACAACGCAGCCGGACTTAACTATTAGTCGCTTTTCTGTACCGCATACGCAGCATGTATATCCTAAAAATCTACCTATCTAGGTACATAAAGACTACTAGAACTTGAGTTCAATTGACTCATAAATTCAGTAAATTCACCTGATCATTCAGTAAAATGAGCAAAATCCAATGCAAGCCTAGTCTTGTGGTTTGGTGCTAGGTTAGTAAGCAAAATGGTAGAACAATCCAAACTCGCATTGAGCTTTCAATTAGCTAGTATGTTAGAGAGCGGCTACGCAAGTAACTGTCTTTCAAACAGAAGCTAATGATGAGTAAGTAACTTTTTGTTAAAAACTAAAGCTAAATAAGAGAAATTGTTTTCATACATAAACACGGGACACATTAGAAAGAGCATCGTACAAACCTTTATCCATTAGTATACAACAATATTTTTAAATTCTCGAAAGCTTTGAAATCCATTTACGAAGCTTCTCTCTATAGTTGTTATATACGCTCAGTCCTTATTCATCGTCATGATTGGTTGATTGATGCAGACAGACTATTGTTGACGAAATTCAGTGCAGCAGTTGTATATTAGCAAAAACTTAGGGAGAACGCTATATTGGTTACCTGCGAACCCGTTGCTTACCGGCTAATATTTATGTTTGTGACTTAACAAAGTAGGTACACGCGTAGCTTTTGCATGAACTACGTTGCTGTCTCAACGTCTCGTAGTTGACAACTATGTAAAGAATTCTTGAGTTACTTCCACCAATACTTTACTCATGGGATACGTTGTTTTAAGCAGTGGTGATCTTATTTTCGATAAGACAATGCCAAGGAAGTTAAAATATCCAAGCCAGTTCCATTAGCGATATCACACTAAGCTCTTACCCTCGACTTGACAAAGATGTCAGAGCCACAATGATAGCCAACAAAAGCACTATTATTTAGTATGGTAAGTGATAAAGGAAAGACTTAAAGGCAAAAGGAAGAAGTGTTGCTCTTAGCAAGATGGTCGCGAAACTTGACTATTCACACCGCAGTTAGTTGTTTACTGGTTTACCGAGCTGAATAGTTTGGTTGTAGATGTTTCGTTATCATTAGAGGTGACGTCATTAGTGCAGAGGTGAATGCAACCTGATTGAGAAAAGTGCGCCAGGCTAGTCTATTCCTGGAATCGATTTACCTGGTGCAACTTTTCGCGATCACACTGCAGCCAATGCTGCACTGATGATATCATTTCCCTTAGTGACAAAACGCCTGAAGCTACATTGTTAACGTAGGCAAATAAATAAACTAAATAAAGGGCATTCCGAGGGGCAGTGTAATTTTTAAAAGCTTTGTGCTGTCAGACAGCCGGACTCGTTAAAATCTGGCTGCAACAAAGCCTCTTTAGAAATACTCAGAACTCCTTTTGCTACTATTTAGCAACTGAGACTTACCCGAGAAAGCAATATACTACGTTGATTACTGTCGATTTGCGAAGCAAACTATGTCTGTGAATAACTGTCTTTTACACCCTCGTAATATGTTTGGCAACGGACGCTAATTGTGTTATATAGCTGCAAGTAATCAGTCATGGTCATCTACTGCCATCTTGGCATAAGCCATTGAGTGAACTGCGCGGAGCATGAGGTGGACACTTGAATGGGTCAAGGAAAAGACGAGTCGCTGTGTAGTCTCTATCCGACGAAATATCAATCAAAGTGTGCGTGAGGCTTTCCAACAATTTTTTATGCGCTATCAATTTACCAGGATTGCAAGATTAGTTTACCGAAGGAACTTCAAATTCAGTGTTGAAACTGGATGGTGCGTACAACTGATAACTTTGCAGAGCAACATCATTATCTAGTTCGATGATTGACTGAGTTAACATAATTATAATGAGATGACAGCCATTTAAGCTCCTACATTACACTGAATTAACTCCCACTCGGTAATCAGAGACGAAGAGCAACGGAACTCTGATTTATTCATTCCATCTAAGACTGTTCGAAATGACGGGTTTATTACGCGTGAAAAACTACTTGCAGTGTAACTCAAGCCCGTTACTAACACGGTCATTTGTATTTTTGGGGAACCCTCTAGTCATGCTAGGAAGTAACTTTTGTTCGGCAGTAACTCAAGCAGTTATAAATGTGATACCTTGTGTAAGTATGTGCAAAGAAATAAAGAGTTTGTACATCAGGGGAAATAAGCATCTGGCAGATGTAAGTAAAACTAGTCATTTTTATAATCTAATGCGGCGTTCTACTTTTTAGTGTAGTAAAAGCCTTACTGCAGCCACGCATAGGAAAGATGCATACGTCGCACCATACTTAAACATAAAAGTGTTTGTGTATACCTAACCAACAACAGGGTCGCTCCCGTTAATCTGCGATAGTTTACATATTTGCGTTGTATTTGTCAGCAGTTATATTTGCAGCCCGTGAACAACAGCACTGGTGCCATAGGTCGGAGATTTATTCTGATAGCATAAACGAAGTGCGCCACAAGTTGTAAATGCAACTGCGAGATGCAATTGGTCGGTTAAAGTGGCATATACTCTATTTATCCACACAAGACGGCTTGAAAATGTGTTTAAACGTCAAGCAAAACACAAGGCCTACCACACAGCTATCAGTAAAGCACAATAAAACTGCTTTTCACAAAACTCAAAAATACTATATGAAAGGGCGTCTTGCACTTGCCTTTGATAGGCAACAAATACGTTTTAGACTGCAATGCATGTCTAACTGCTCAACAGTTCAAAAATGCAAAGAAAACAGCGAACAACCGTGACACCCATCGTCGTTACCGGGCCAAGGCGTGACAGGCGAGCCAGACTCCTTCGCTTGAATTGGAGCAAACAGATAGTCAATCGGATGAAGCGGCCAATAAACACGAGGGTAGCATTACTGGATAGCCCGTAAGTGGACCTTTCTGGAATTTTCCACGTGTGCTTTAAATACGATTCAGGAACTTACGATTTTACCTTTAGGATAAACAGTATGCTTGACTAATATAACTCTGTTCCTCTGTTCGCCCGTTTCGGCCTTCTCTCTCTCCTATGGGGGGCGAACGACCTCGAGTTCCGATTGACAATCAACCGTTAATTCAGGTGAGGAACGATCACACCACAAGCAAATCTGATACAAGTTTCTAAACTAAGCCCTGTATCACAACAAAAGTCTTTTGACGGAAGGCAAATACATTCTAACTGGAAGCCATCTAGCAAGCAAACTGTTTAGTTGCACAGTGTGATGCAACTAACCAATAGCACCAGAAAAGCACAACAAGAACGCTTGACATAAACACAGTTGACGCACCAGTGACGTCGGTTCACCGGATTACAGCATCCAATCGACCGGTGATCCTATCAGCAATCGTAGTTTATTTTTAGAGAGCAAACAAGCTACGCTAAAAGAAATTTTAGTTTTATAACCCTGACTGGAATATTGATGCCTGGTGTAGATACTGTTCTGCAACGAAACACAAGTGACATCTGACGTCTGACGTAGGCTAATTGTTTATAGCTAACTTATCAGCATCAATATGTATGTTAATAGAGCAACGAAAACCAGCTCTGACGGTTCACTTTGCTAGGTCTTACAGTTTCTGTATCCGCTGGACAGAAACCGAGTCATACTGATGCCTGATTGTTTTAACTAAACGTCATTATCAAACATGTCTCCCATAATTATAAGTTAAAGGTAGAAAGCCTATTCCACTTTAGTCTAGAGCAAGAAACAGCACAAAATCATGCTCTCAAGGTCCACTTGTACCTCTATTGGTCAGTTATAAGGCATTGAAAAGTTTACTACTAAGTACAGTCTTGCCTTGAAAGGATAGTGTGTGGAATTTACACCGGCCCTTCCATACAAAATAAATTATCCAAAATGCTTTCCCGCAAAAAGTAGAAATCAGTAAAAACTAGGTTTATTCAAGCTCTGCAAAATCATATGGCCTCTTTGCTGCTACCTGCAGGTACAATGTAGTAATGGAATAAGATCCAGTTAAAGCTTGTGAAGCTTCGAAAGTAACAGGGTCAAACTCAAACTTGTGGGAAATCGGTTTTTAAAAGTGCAGCATCGCAAATAGTTAAGCTTCATTAATGGATTAGAAAAACCGCCCTTAAATGCGTTAAAATTAACAGTACAAGCTCTTTTTCTATAGCAGACTGATATAAGTTACATCGGTTCATGATTGATTGCTTAGCCCATAAAAGGCTTAAGTCCACTGCTTATGTTGTGAGTAATAGAAATAATCAGTTTCATGCAAAAATTCACAACCACTGGATGGCGGTTGAACTGTTCGCTGAGATTGGCAATTTGGTTGCAAACGTCTCCTCATCAATCGGGGTGACCTCATCAGTGCATAGTTGAGTGGCATGCAGTAGCGTAGAGGCCCCTCGTTTGCAAACAGATTGCCAAGCTAAGCGAACAGTTCAACCGTTATCTGAACCACCTGAGTTACCAGTCTATAATACTATAGCCAACACAACAATTAATTAGCCACTTTACGCTTGGTTAAAAAAATGTCAGCCGTTTGGTAATACGCAAGGTAACATTTATAAGAATAGGATAAAGTTTGTGCGCAACCCAACTGGGAAACAACCACGAAAGGGAAAAAGAAATGTGGTTCACACACGAAATTTACTGGCTTATAGTTCAACAAAATACAGAACAAGAAACGTTTATTGAAGTAGGCCCATAACTTTTAAAGTGGAATGAGTAAAAATACAATGTGTTGGGAGAATTAACAGAAGTCTAAAGCGTTTGCAAGTACATGGACTAGCAAAATATGAAGCGCAGTTGTTGGAAGAGTAAAGCGTGTATAGCAACTCGCTCATTATACGTCAACTGAGTAGCAATTGGAATTATAGCTTATTTTGTCAAGCAAAGATAAACCCTTTTAATAGATTAACAAAGGCGAAATTGCAATAACTTCGTACTACAAATACCTGTTTATTCCACTTCCAATCCGGGCCCCTAACAACTCGACAACCGACACCAGATGCATATGCTCCTGGTTCATATATATCAGTGTTCAGATGATTTCTGTTCATTGTCCAATGTACACTGCATCATAGTAAGAAGATAAGCAGATCCAAATGCTATAAATGGAAAAGCAGATTGGATCCATGCATTTGGTTACACAAAAAGCAGAGACACAGTTGATTGAGGTAAATCTAACAACTGGTGCAACAATTCGTTCATGCTTACAGCCAGTTGCCCTCGAAGGGGAAGGTTATGCAAACCTCATGCAAATTGAAGTATTCTAAAGTAAAACAGTTGTGCCGACTAGTGCCTATCTAGCTTATGAGAGTATTCCAGGCGACACGTTTCACAAAATATAAACTGATATATAGTAGGCGGCATCCGGTTTCGGATTTGCCTGTCACTGTGGCCAGACACAGGACGCCTGCGCCTACAGAGGGACCATGGGTGGCTTGCGCTGCACCACACACAGCTCCAACCACACACCCCATATCCAGTGTAAACCCGAAGGAATAAGACCGGGAGGCATGTGAATGGGGGCCACGTTTCATCAACGGAGCCGGCCCACACTCCTTCACAGGCAAACACAAGCACGCTGTAGTTGGGGAATCAAGCACAACACAAGGCGGTGTCTGGACCGTAGTCCGCTCCACACTGAGTGCATGGAACCACTCGTTGATCCTAACACGGCCACAAGAACCGTGCACCCCGTCCCCTCCAGCAACGACCAACTGTCTCCTGGAGCCAGTATGAACGAGGTATTGGTTAATAGATAGGTAGGCACCTTGTCAACATGCACATCAAGCGCAACCATACCGGGGATATCAAGCAACAGTCAATCACTGGAGAGAAAGATAACAAAGAAAATAAGTCGAGTAATGCATAAGGAAACGGTGACGTAAATCTTAAATTAATGAGCATATGAAATAAGTTGTTTACAAAGGATCCGAGATAAGTTCACGAGGTCAGAAAGTATATTTTACGGAAATGACACAAACACGAAATGTTATCGAAATTAACTACAATTGGCTTAAGCGACGTGTGCAAGTTTATAGAAGAGCGTACAGGTAGATATTTATATGAGAAAGAAAAGCATTAGGACAAAATTGAAAACCCACCACCTGAAATAAAGAGACTTAGCATGCAAGCACGCGGTTAGTAAATCGAATGCAACGTACCTACAAACGCTGCGCTGGTTCTACCTACGTTCTCTGCAGGACCCGTCGTCGCTTCGGTAGTGGTCCCGAGTGGCCTCGCTCATGGCTCACTAGGCCTGCCTGACTCAGGCACTCGCGACGACATGTGCTACAGCGCCATGCGCTCAATGTCGATGGAGTGCAACCCATCGTTGCTTGCCGCTTCCGCACTTGTCGCTTCTTCTCTGCATGTATGAGGTCATTCTCCCGCACTTCGGCAACTGCCTTCGTGATTAGATCGCGCCATGCACGCCGCTCAACCACATTCGATTCCCATGACCTGCAATCAAGATTAGAACAGGAGAGGCTCACTTTGATCATGTCCTGGTAACGTAATTTGGTTTCTCCGCATGCCGCTTCCCAATACTCAGCTGACCATATAAGAGTTGTTTCGATATCCGCGTCGAATCCATACGGCTCACATGACCTAGCCACCTCAGGTGTCTCAGCAAAAGTACGCAGTCCACTGCATACATCCCACTTCGGCGCAACACTTCTGTCTCCCCATGTCTCCCCACTCTGTCTCCCCAAGTGATGCACAAAATTCGTCGCAAACACTGCTGATGGGACCGCTCGAGATATCACACATCTCGCAGGTACATCGTCCACGTTTCACTGCCGTATAGAAGAACGGACAGCACCATGGATTTGTACACCATCAGCTTTGTGCCAATGGTAAGCTGATGGTTGTTCCAAACTCAGTACTCAAGCTTCCCGAATGCCGTCAACACACGGATACGAAGCTCACTGTGAAGCTGCTGATCAGTCGACATCACACTCCCAGGGTAGCTGAAGCGGGAGGTGGTTTCCAATAATTCAGCACCAATGCTGATTCGCGGCAATATTGAAGATTGCACCTCCGGTGAAGGCTGAAAGAGACAGACAGTTTTGCTTGTGTTTATGGTGAACCCGAATTTGGCCGCTGTCAAAGCCGGAGCACTAGTAATATGCTGCAACTCATCCGCGCTGTGTGAAAACAACCTACAGTCGTCAGCAAACAGCAACATACGGTTAGTTGTCTCACAGACTAGAGTTCTCGCACCGAAACGACGGATATTCAGCAACCCACCATCAATACGGTGCTCCACACGAACACCGTAAGCACAAGCGGCATCAAAAGCACAAGACAACATTGCATGAAGATATATATTAAACAGGGCAGGAGCTAACACACAGCCTTGCTTCACACCAAAGACAACTACAAAGTCATCCGAGGTCTCTCCACTCAGCTGCACCCTTGCTCGCATACTACTGTGCAGACATTCAATTAAACTTACAAACTTACGCGGGCAACCAAACTTACCCAACACCAGCCACAATGCCTCGCGGTTCACCGTATCAAATGCCTTGGTGAAATCAACAAAAATCGAGTACAAAGACTGGTGTTGTTCTCTACACTTCTCCTGTAACTGTGCAGCCGCAAACACCATATCTATAGTGCTGCGACCCGAACGGAATCCCCATTGCTCTTCCGCCACGTTAGGTTCCACAACCTGACTGACGAGGCGGTTGAGTAGGATTCGGGCAATCAGCTTGCCAACACAACTCAGCAAGTTGATGCTACGATAATTCATGCGACATTGCTTGCTCCCTTTACCCTTGTACAGTGGTAGCACAAGGGCATCCTTCAGCTCAGCAGGCACCTCCTCAATCCATACGGGTCGCAACAAGTAGTGCAGCGCAGTCACCAACGCGGGTCAGCCGTGTTTCAATACTTCAGGCGGGATCCCGTCGGCTCCGGCACACTTACCGTTTCGCAGCTGAGCAAGTGCTCTCTGCGTCTCATCCAGTGTCGACGTGTTCACCAGACTCGTCTTCACATTATGCTGCTTCAGGCAGTTCAATGTAGGCCAGTCGATCTCTGAACGGTTGTTCAAGAGACAAAGTGTTTTCACCAGACCTGCATTATGTCTGCAGTCTGTGTGCAGGTAGCGCCTGAGCTACCATCGACCAGCGTCCACAGCTGCTCCAATCTCGGTCCATACACCGCCTTCAAGGAGTCAAGGAATTCCTTGTGTTGGCGGCGTTCGACGTAGCATTCCATCTGCTTCGCCTTCTCCGTCCGCATAATCAAGACCAAGTAACGTTTCACTAGGCAAGACTTCAACGCCAACCTCGTGAGATTCCGCAAGGAAACACGCTATGATAGAGTCCACTATAAAATTGAACGAAAATGGGGAGATCGGACAATCCTGACGTACGCCACTCTTGGTTGGAAAGCTATCCGGCAGGTCACCGATTCCTCCGCAACTCGTCAAAGATCTCGACGGACTTTTAGAGCTTCCTGAATATCAAAAAACTTACGAAGATCTTAAGATCATTGTCTTAAAGCGATTCGGCATATCCGACCTAGCTCGGGCTACGCAGCTTTTTAATAAAACCGAGCTAGACGAGCAAAAGCCTTTTCAGTTCTTGCACAAGATGCAGACATTAGCGAAACCACACTCTTTAAGAGAAGTGGCTTCCTCGCCCGCCACGTTACGTACGTAACCACCTATACGCGAATAATGACGCGCCTCTTTCCCAGCTCGCCGAGATTGCCGACCGTATTCGGGAATCCAACACCCAAATTTCTCAGGTTAAGTCTACTTCCAGTACGGAGGTAGCAGAACTAGACTGCAAGTAGCGGCACTTACCGCTCGAATAGAAAACCTGAGACCGTCCGGATCCAACCACCGAAATCGTTCTAGCAGGCTCACTCGTTGCAGGTCAAGTTCGAACTCCCCGCCTAGGCCAACCCATTACTGGTACCACGAGCGACTTGCTCGCCAGGCCAGATCGTATCGCTCGCCCCGTTCCTTCAAGTGCAACACACAGGAAAACGAACCGGCCAGCACGAAGAGGCGACGCACGTTGCTGGCTGCCCCAGTCGCCAGTTCTTCGTCAATGATCGGGAAACAGGAGTTCCCTACTTGGTGGAAACTGGTGCTGCAGTTAGCGTGCTTCCTTGCGATAAGAAAGACCCGAATGGGAAGGCGATTAATACACTGCGCGTAGCCAACGGAACGACCATTCTCGTGTACGGTCAACGCTAGCTTACGCTTACTATAAGCCTACGAAGTTCTTTTAAACAGAGCTTCCTCGTTGCAGATGTCCAGTCCCCAATTCTTGGCCTTGACTTTCTGCAACACTTCAACTTGCTAGTTGACGCGATGCAACGCCGTCTGTTCGATCGCCAAACAAATATGGCAGCTAGAAGTACTTTGACCGACATTGAGTCAATCAGTCCAACCAATCAAACAGCTATCGGGCAAATGTTTCTGAGCAAATTCCCGCAAGTCTTCCGTGCAACAGCACCGTTACCATTCGCCACGGATGTTGCAAAGCATCACATCGTTACTAAAAGTCTGCCTGTTTTCGCTAAAGCCAGGCGGTTGACTCCTGACCAAATAACAATTGCTCGCCCAGAATTCGAGCACATGCGTGAACTAGGCATGGTTTGCCAGTCTAAGAGCCCGTGGACATCGCCACTCCACATGGTGCCCAAAAAGACAGGAGACTGACGTCCATGTGGTGAGTACTGCGCACTCAATAATGTAACTGTTCCCGATCGCTACCCTATTCCCCACCTTCAGGACATCACGGCTAGCCTGTGTGGCACCAGCGTGTACTCGAAAATCGATCTGGTTCGCGCTTATCACAGCGCGGCAATCAGTGTCTTCTTCTGCGGCATGTTTGAAAATGAGGCGGGAAAGACCGTAGGCTTGACCAAAATCCTGAGTATGGCAGTAGCGGATTTCGAAGTCGTAACCAAGAAGGATGACCGTACGACGCTGAAGTCGGCTAGCCGAGTATGCGGGAATGTTCTTCTTTGAACCGAAGATCAAACCTAGGAGCTTGTGATCAGTCAGTAGCGGGAACCACCAGCCACA